ATTGCAAAATACAGGTAAACCTGTTGTGTACAGTTAAACTTGTTTTACCAATTGAAGATCTTATTTAACTTGCATTGCCCCTGCCCTGACACATACTTCAGCCTGGTGAACTGTATAGAGCAGAACAGTTTACCTATTGTCATTTCTGTTTCTAATGGCTTGATGGTGGGTAGGTAGGACATATCATAACAGATTTTCATTAAATGCTGATTAAGTATTGTTTTTCAGAAATTAAGATCCTATATAATCTACACTAATAAAAGAGAAACATGCAAATTGGTGTCACTCCACTACACCCACCAGCCAATCAGATGAGTATGCAAATTAACCCAAACAAAGATGGTGGTTAATTTGCATATGCAGGCGCTGAGCAAAGACTGAAGACAACGTAGAAGAAAGCCAACCGCTGCGGAAGGGAATGAAGCTGCGGAGAAGCAAGAGGGGCGGCGGAGGCAGGAGCAAAGCCCGTCTCAGGGGTTTTCGCTCCAGCTGCAGGAAGCCCTATTCTTGCAGGAATCTTCCTGCAACGGGCCTCTAGTCCTATATAATAAAAGCATAATATGCTAAATGTCTGACCAACACGCTAAGCTATGACATGCACTGACCACCAAGGGGCAGACAATCCAACCAGTAGGTTAGTTTGCTTCTGGGGTCTGACCAATGGGGACTGGGCAGGAGGGCTGGATATGCCCTGGAGCCCTCCTGCAGTCACTTCCCAGCTGGCTAGCCAACCTCCTGTGGTTCCTCCCTGGCCAGCTGGTCCCCATCGACCTGATGGGGATGGCGAGATGGCCCAATCACCCCGATTGCCAACCAGACCAAGGGACCCCACCCATGCATGAATTCGTGTACCGGGCCTCTAGTATTTAATAATAGCACAAGTTACTTAATTCTTGGTAGAAGTAAGCATGTTACTGTATAAGTCAGCCTTAAAAACAATGGTTGCTTTAGTTTTCTCTCAACAAACGATATGGAGACTGGCAAAATACAGTTGAGCATTGAGAATCACAAGTAGAATCTTTAGTATGTATTCATTTGTTCATTAAATCATTATAAGGTGCTATTGGGTTGAGTATACACTAGATATTCATGGGAGTAGTTGAGAAAAGCAAGTAGTTTTGGCTATGATGGCTTTTGGTTTCTATCATTTGAAAATGTATATATGATTAATTGGAGCAATTGTATAGATTTCAGACTTGTATTAGTATCCTTAAATGTCAAGTTGAAAGTCCTTTACTAAAGATGAGTACAAATAGTTTTGTTCTTTTCTCTGATTTAGGTGGAATGACTGATAAATCAATATTTCAACAAGTAAGAGAGCATTTGCCTTAGTTTAATTATATCAACAAAGCAACTAAAAGAGCAGTGAAGTAATTAGTGTCCAAACATGAAAACAAAAAATATCTTTTTAATGTAGACAAATCATTGATTAAAACAAAATTATAAATTATTCTGTTGCTTTCTCTAAATAGAGTTTTATGTTCCTGACAGTATTCATTTATATACAGTTTTTAAATATAGAACAAACTTATGGATCATGGATAAAAGAACTATGGCTTTGACCCTATGACAATGTCAATAAAAATTAAAAATATATTTCTCAACTATTGCTGTAATTCTTTATGGTTTTTTTTTTAGGTTTACTAATATTACATAGCATTAGGAAATGCCAATTAGGGAAGTAGAAAATCATTGACTGCTTATTTTTTTTGAAATTAGAATTAATTTAATTGGTACTTTCATACTGAGATTTGTTTTGGTGAAGATTCCTACTGCCATGGGTCAATAAAGCTGGCAGATTTGGAGAGCTAATCTCACTTCTTTTCTCAGCCTTGAGATTTAGCAAGACCTCCTGATGAAAATCTTGAATAGTTGCTAATTCACTTGTGTCAGAAAATTTTAACTTATTTTGAATTGAAATCCCTTTATTTTCATTTTAAGCCTCTTTATTTTTCTAAATTTTAAAACATTGAACAAAGAGCTAGCATAGAGATCTTTTCACTTTGTATAATGATTCGTAGAGTTGACAATATTTTTGTCTACTCTCTCTTTACCAGTTTAAATAATTTCAATTCCTTCATTTGGGACAGAGCACCTTTTCATGTTTTGGGTTCTCTGAAACGTTTAGGGACAAAAATAACTGTTATCTTTCTGATTCAGTTGGGACCAAGTGAGTTAATTGAAAAAAAGATGTTAATTGAAAAAGGTGGAAAGATTCTTTAAAACAAATACTCCACATTGAATAATGAAATTTTCTTTCGGTTTTGGGTTGTGTTTTCAAATGAAGATAATTTTCTCTTTGCCCCTAATTATGGTTTTTGAAGATTTAAGTGACATGAACACTTCAGCAACCTGGTGAGGTCTATGGAAACTTCCTTAGGCTAATGTTACAGTACATATACATGTGAAAAATACATACCAGTAGATGCATGCTTTTTAAAAAATGTATCAATGGCTAGTGAATGAATGCTATTTCCAGATACTTCAACAACTGTAATGTGATGTGGAAACAACTGTGATTGCTGTTGACAAATACTGTGGTTTGTTGCCTATATATGTAATTGAAGTAAGTAGTAAGTAGAGGAAAGTGATAGTAACATCTAATAGAAGTTAGGGAGAGTAAATAAAAAGTTTCTGAATGTAAAAATGTAATTTATTTTCCCATCCAAATTTATGAATTCATTAGAGTTCATGGATGCTAAGATCAGAACCCTTTAATTTATCTGATAACCTTGCTGAACTCTCTTATTATGAAAATGTTGGTTTCTTCTAGGTAGATATGTATATCATCTAAAAGTATTGATTTCCCCCGCTTTCTTTTCAGTCTATAAAAATGTTCTTTTTCCCCCCATTTTATTCTAAGAGTTGGAGAACTGTATTTAAGAGTAGTAGTGCCACCCAGCCAGTATGGCTCAGTGGTTGAGTGTCGATCCATGAACTATTAGAGGTCACAGTTGATTCCCAGTCAGGGCACATGCCTGGGTTGCCAATAGGGGGTGTGCAAGAGGCAGTTGATCAGTGATTCTCTCTCATCATTGATGTTTCTATCTCTTTCTCCCTTTCCCTTTTTCTTTGAAATAAAACAAACAAAAATCCTTACTCATTCCTGACTTTAAAGAGAAAAATGTGTTCTACATTATATATAATGTTTCATGTCAGTTTTTGCTATACAGATATTCTTTGCTATCCAAGATTACTTACAGCCTGAATTCAGCTGGTTGGTGGAGTAAGATTATCTCAATTAATTGGTTATTTATGGTTCATGAATTGTGGATGAGAGCAACGATAGTGAGGAAAATTGAAAACTGAAAATTTATTTGATATTATTTCACTACTGGGTTTCGCTATCAGGTGTTGAACTAAGTTCAGATTGTAGTTCTCTTCCATGTTTAACTTGTTAAGGCTTTTTGAAAAATCTTTCCTGTATTGATAGAACTAATCATATGATGATATATAACCACCTTTGCATTGCAGAACACTTCATGGCATCATTCTTTATTATTTTTTAAATATAATCTTTTTTTTAAATATATTTCACTGATTTTCCACAGAGAGGAAGGGAGAGGGATAGATAGAAACATTGACGAGAGAGAAACATCGATCAGCTGCCTCCTGCACACCCCCTACTGGGGATGTGCCCGCAACCAAGGTACATGCCCTTGACCGGAATCGAACCTGGGACCCTTCAGTCCGCAGGCCGACGCTCTATCCACTGAGCCAAACTGGTTAAGGCTAAATATAATCTTGAATGCAGTTAGCTAACATTTTATTTGGAAGTTGTTTTTCCCCCATCTCCATAAGTGAAATGGGTCCTTATTTTCTTTTGTCATAATGTCTGGTTTTGGTATCAGGATTCCATTAATTAGCCTCCAAAATAGGGAGTTTTCACACTCTCTATTTGCTAGTACAACTTGTATTATAAAGCCATTAATGTTTCTAAAAAGTTTATTAAAGCCCCCTCGTGGACCTTTAGCTTTTTGAAAGGGGAATTATGATTACCATTCCAATTTATTTCATGCTTTATGGTACCTTCAGGGTCTCTATTTCATCTATTGCCAATTCTGGCAGTGTTTTTCTAGGAATGTATCCATTTTATCTTGACTTTCATCCATTAGCCTATCTTTGTTATGACACATTCAGAAGTCTATTTAATATTGAGTATCATCCTTTCCATTCTGTATCTTGCATCTTTGTTCTGTCCCCACCTCACCTCTCTCTTTGATGAAAGTTTGTCAATATTTGTTATTCTCCACCTTCAGGAAAAGCAGCCTTTGTTAATCTCTCATATGCTTTTTGTTTGTACTTTGTTGATTTCTACTCTTTATTTCCTATCTTATTGTTCTTTTAATATTATTTTTTTGCTTCTTATTATTTAAGGGTTTCCATTTCTTTGTTTTAGGTTTAACTTAGTTTGTGAGACAATAGCAGATAAAATAACTTGCTAACCCTTATATCATTATCTTCCTGAATTTGTTTCCCTTTTAGAATTTGATTACCTAATAAAGTATTCAGTTTGGGCCTTTGTGAGGCAAACCTTTTGTTTCCTGGAATGCCTGAGTAATTTTTATTCTACCTTTACCTTTGAGAAACAATTTGGTTTGATATAAAATTCTAGAGTCAAATATTTTCCTTCAACACTTTAAAATGTTACTATATTATATTGTGTGTCCAGTATTGTTCCAAAGTTTATCTTTCTGGAAGCTTTAGGAATTCTGTCTTTTTCTTTTTGATTTAAAATGTAACCATAATGTGTCATGGTATAATTTTTCTTGTTTGTCTTGTTAGAGACAACTTCTTTTCTGAGATATTTCATTTTTCTTTAGTTCTGTAACATTATTTTAAGTAATCCTTGAAAGATTTACTTTGTCTCTCTACCTACCTTCCTCCCTTCACTATTTTTTTCTGAGACACCTATTATCTGGATGTTCACACATCTGCTCCCACTTGCTGACTTCTTTTTCATGTTATTGTATCTTATTCTTTTTTTAATTGCCTTTTAGGAAAGATCACCAGTCTGATTTTCTCAATCAAAAATTCATCTTTTAACTGTATCCATCCTGCTGTTTATTTCCTTTACTTCATTTTTATTATAGCTGTTATATTTTATACCAATAATTAAAATAATTTCTTATTCATGCTGTATATTATTGATATCTTGTCTTCAGCATATTGTGCTTATTTTAAATTATTGGGTTCATCTATTCCAATAATTCTGCGTCAGCAGATACATACACACTTCTCCAAAAGATAAAGGGAATCCAAAATTTTAACTGTGTAAGTGTAAGAATGTGTGATATTCATATTGATGAAATAACTAGAGCAAGTCTGTGTAGCAGGCCAGGCAGGATTTCTGGGCATTGGAGTGAGAGCCAAATATATCCTCATCCAGGCTGTGGTTTGGTGCCCCCTAGTGGTCATTGCTTCCTTTGGTTTAAATTTCCATGAGTACAATTTTGTTTACTTTGGCGCGCTCCAAAACAGCAGTGGCAATACTTTCTAGTTAATTGTCTCTCATTTTGTGGGCCAGATTGGAATGCATATTCTAGGTCCTACCTAGACTCTAGGATAAGTCTGGGTGAGAAGTCTTGGAACCCATTCTCTTTCACCCTGCCTCTAGAAATGTTGAGTGACATGGCTTTGCCCTTGCTTTCATTTTGATCTTTTACCCTTGCCTTACTCCAACCAATGGAAAGAGAAACAATACTCTATGTTTATATTTGTGTGTTCATTTAATTGTTGATGTTCTTCATAGTTGCCTAAGTATCTGGATTTCGAGATCTATTCTTATTCCTAGGATGTTGCTACTCTCTCTTAATGGGAATCAGGAGGGGCTGAGGGTCAGTTTCTGGTCCTTGTTAATCTGGCATTGAACTCTAGCACCACTGACTTCTTGTTAACCACTCATTGCCTCTTCTCTACCTGATGGTTTTACCCATATCTCACAAGAACCTGTATTACTCTGTTGGCATTAACAACCAGACCTCTGCTGCCCAGTTTTGGTGGTGTGGTGAAAGTGTATACTTTGCTTATCTCAGAGCAGAGGCATGAGTAGCATTGGAAGGTTTTCCAAAAATGTGTTCTCTTACATCCTAGGCTGCAGCACCCTCATTCAAACATGCATCGTTTTCTTTTTATTTGTCTGCTTTTTTGCTTGCTTCAGGTTCCTTATTGGTATTTCCTTCACTAAGCTACAGTTTCTCCAGGATTGAATTTTGTGGAAGAAGCCAGTAGTGGAGAGAGCAAGTTTCATTTTAGCCTAGGTAAAAAAACTATTACTCTCAAATTGATAAATTTAAGACTAGTATTTCATTGCATTGCCTTCTGGTATTTAAGTCTTGATTTTATTAGCTATTGAAAAAATTTCCTTTTGGTACTCTTGTTATCCTTATAGGATTCTTTTGTCCTGGGAATTCTTTTTGCTTTTTTTTTTTTTTTTTACATCTCATCACATTGTGACATGGAGAAACTGAACATGCCTTAGATTTCTTAGGTGCTCTTACTTTTTTTAGCAACAACATTTTGCAAAGCCTTTTTCCATATCTTAATCATATTCATTTCTAACTGACCTTGTGTGGAGGAAATTGTAAGGCTCATAGAAGTCGAGTTTGTTGGCCATAATGCCACAGCCAGTAAATAATGGCAGGCCAAGGGTGTGAGCCAGGGACCAGCTTCAGTTTCAGGCCTCTGTCTGCTACACTGAGCTACATTGGGAATAATTGTTTATATCCAAATCCTCTGAAGTCTTTGAAACTATGCTCAATTCTAGTTTTCCAAGTGAAACAGGTTTCACAGTTTTTTACTGTTCAGAAACTTTTAAGACAAGGATTTTCCACAAACACACATATTCCATATTCATAGGAATTTTTGGTGGGTAGTACTATGTATTTTTTGAACCAACATACTTGCTTTGTACTGGACTCCCTTCTACATAAAATCTCTTCAATTCTTGATTCTCACAGTTTGAAAAACAGTGTTGTTTGTTCTTTCTTTTCTCCAGTTCAAATGATGTGAAAAGCCAAGGACTTATTGTTGGGGGGAAGGGGGAGTTGCCACTTTTAAATCACAGAAGCTTGTTATTTATATGGAAATTGTGTCATTGCTTTTTTTATGATCTACAGACTGCCTTGGAAATTTGTAAGCTCTGGGTATTGCATATTATGTTTAGTTTTTCTCTTGGCTACTAGGACCTTATTCGTGTCACTGGAATTTCTTTTAAATTTTCTCTGTTACCACTTTAAGAATATATTCTGAGCAGACTCTTCTGTTGACTAGTGTTCCACCACCTAGATTATAGGATCCCAGAGAGTTCCCACAGAAAAGAAATAACAGGTCATCTAGCCTAACTTCCTTGATTATGTCTGAGCAAATGGAAAGATTAGAGGACTTGGCCAAAGCCTTCTCACAGATAAGGGTCCAAGCCTTCCTCAAGCTCAGGTTTTCTGACTCGGACTGATTTTTCACAGTATACCACTTAATCTCTTAATGAACGGTAAACAGAAGTTTTGTAGTTTTTACTTGAATTCATTCCTCTTGTGGGAACCTCACATTATTTTACTTTTCAACCACTGACTGCTTCTTTGCTACCTTCCCCTCAGCCCCGCTCCAAAGAATGACAGGGTAGAAAGAGGAAGAAAAGAGAGCTAACCTAACATTATGAAGTTCTGCCTAAATTCCTGCTCTATTGTAGTCTGCCTGGCTTGCCATACAATATACCAAAAACACTGTTAAAAAAAATTTAAATATTTGTGTTGCTTTCTTCTTAAACAGCAGAAAGTTATTTTCTTACATTTCTGGCAGCTGGAAAGTCCAAGATCTAAGTCCGGCAGAGTTCAGTTCTGGTGAGAGCTCTCCTGCCTGCAGACTCCCCCTCTTAACTGTGTCCTCACAGAGAAGGGATAGGGAGAGAAGTTCTCTTCCTCTTAAGAGGCCACAGTCCTACCCCATAAAGTCCAGCCCTTATGACCTGAACCTTAGCTACTTCCGAAAGACCCTGTCTCAGATAAAGACATGAGGGTTAAGGCTTCAGCATGAGTTTTGGGGGGACACAGTTGAGTCCATAGCTCTATGTATAACCCTGTGAGGTAGCTTACAGCTGCTGGCATACCTGCCTCGGTTCATTAATGTGATCTTTCTCCAAGGTCAGAGGATGGCTGGTATTAGTAGCTACAGATGGGTAGAAGCACACTTTCTTCTGCAACCTTTGGCAAACCTCATAGGATTATTCCTAAGTTCCTAATCCAAGCACAAATAGGCCTTTCTGTAAAAAAAATTTAATATAATATGTGTGATCAATTTAAAATCATTTCACCCATTTAAATTACTGTTCAAATCTTCATGGAAGGCATCATCAGGCCATGACTGAGAGCACACGTGCACATACTTGGACATCAGAATTCTTAGATTTGAATCCTGATCTACCACATAGTATTAGTGAACTTGGACAGGGAATTTGTCACTCTGCCTCAGCTTCTCATCTGTAAAGTGGACAAAATTACCTCACAGCTGCTGACAATGAGGGTAAAGGAGGTAGTGCCTGCAAAATAGTAACTCTTCAGTTATTAATAATGATTACTGCAGCTTAACTTGCTATTCTTCCTGGCTTCGGGGGCTCAAATGACTGTAGTTCACTTACTCTGTACTAGCTCTCAGGATTGTCCCTTTGTTATTTAGGGCCTTGGTGAGTTTCAGTTAATTCTATATAGTCTATATTCTGTCTTTGTAGGAAAATGCTTATGGGAAGTTTGATCCACATTTTTTTGTTATTCTTAAATTATTCCAGTGGCTAAAGAAATCAGAAATCAACCTTTGGTATCCCAATAATCCCTATTTCATATGTGAGGAAGCTGAGGTTCAAAGAAGTAAATAACTGTTCAGTTAGTGTAAGCTGGAATTCTCTACCAAGTCTGTCTGTTTCCATATCTTGTGCTGCTTCCATACACCATATTAAAAACACTTTAAAATGAGATCTGATTAGTGTAAAGTTCTGTAATATTGAAAATATTTGTAACCAATGTAAAAACCAGGCAGCTTATGACCTAGGCCAGTGGTCGGCAAACTCATTAGTCAACAGAGCCAAATATCAACAATACAACGATTGAAATTTCTTTTGAGAGCCAAATTTTTTTAAATGGTCCGCAGGCTGATGCTCTATCCACTGAGCCAAACCGGTCAGGACGAGAGCCAAATTTTTTAAACTTAAACTATATAGGTAGGTACATTGTTATTAACTTAATTAGGGTACTCCTAAGGCTTAGGAAGAGCCACACTCAAGGGGCCAAAGAGCCGCATGTGGCTTGCGAGCCGCAGTTTGCCGACCATGGACCTAGGCCTAATAGAATCCCATTCAGTGAAGAAACAGGTTCTGACTATAAAATACTGTTAAAACAATTTAAATATTTGTGTTGCTCCTGAAAATGCCAAAGAGCCACAACAGTCATAATGAACATCAAAAGTTTTAAATTGTCTTCTGGAAAAGAATATGATATTGAATTCATGATGCATGCTTACTTAGAACACAAAGCAAGATAGATATAGAACAACAACAATAAAACCCCAGAATATTCATTAACCGCAGACAAATAAAAAGCTGTACAGAAAAGAAGTAATAATATCTTACTGCAATGTTTCCCTATGAATATTGTTTATATGGTCATAATTATGTAAATGCTAAATGTGAATCTAATGGAATCTCTCTCTATATAAAAGTCTAAGCGACTGAACGACAGGTCGGCCGGTCGCTATGACATGTACTGACCACCAGGGGGCAGATGTTCAACGCAGGAACTGCCTCCTGGTGGTCAGTGCGCTCCCACAGCGGGAGTGCCGCTCAGCTGACTGTCGGGTGTCAGACGCCAGGCTCATGGCTGGCAAGCCCAGCTGCAGTGGCACATGCCTCTCCCTCCTCCGTGGCAGCGCTACCGAGTGGCAGGCGCAGTGGGGCCAGGATGAGCGGGAGTGGCGCGGCGCCCGACCCCACTACTACATCCCTGCTGGCCTGCAGGGATCAGGCTGAAATCCACAGTCTGAAATCCCCTGAGGGGTCCTGGATTGCAAGAGGGAGCAGGCCAGACTCACGGACCCCACCTGTGCACGAATTCATGCACTGGGCCTCTAGTT